GAGTCTTGCTTTGTGAATGAAGAAAATGTGGACTTTTAGGAATGAGGATGGGCCCGAGATAAATTGGAGGGCTGAGTTTCGCCTCTTTGTGGGGATTGTGTCCATCCGTCATATGTATGACTATGTGACGTATTGCATGCTGCTATGTTCAGCCCCCATTTGGTGGGTACCTCAGTTAGCCTTCCAGGGCATGTCTCTCCAAAGAATATGCAGTATCTCATCTTCATTACTGTCCGAGCAAACATTGTAACATTCGTCTGGGTAATTCTGTTCAGCCACACCAAGCTTGGGATTCCCCTCATTGCTGGAAGATGAAGTCAACAGGACTCCTTGTCTGGGCTCCTAAACAGCTTTGAGGTATCTGTAAAGCCAGTGGAAAAGGAACAAATACCCACCTGGGACCCCATCAAAGACCCTAATGACCAGATCAAATAGTCTTGAAAAATGAGGGCCCAAGCTTCTTTACTTATGAGGTCATAGAAATGATCTCATAGGCTGTTTATCCAGCCCCCTCACTTTACAGATGAGGAAACTGAGGCCCAGAGTTTCAGAGACTTTCCTGAGTCACTGATGGGTGCAATAAAGCGGTTGGAGGTTATGTCTGTGAACATACAGTCACTGAGCAGGTACTTATCTTCCTCGCTGGGGAAGGGAAGGAAAGGCAAGGGAACAAGCATTTATTAAGCACCTACTACATGCCAAGCATTGTGCTAAGCATTTTACAATTATTATCTCATTTTTGATCCTGATAACAACCTTGGCAGGTAGGTGCTATTATTATCCTCATTTTATGGTTGAGGAAACAGAGGCAGAGAGGTTAAGTAACTTGCCCAAGGTCACACATCCAGTGAAGTGTCTGAGTTCACATTGAACTCAGCTCTTCCTGACTCCAGGCCCAGTGCTCTAACCACTACATCACCTAGCCCTGGGTATAAGCAATTATACCAACGAAATCACAATTATTCTACTTTCATGGGTGCACTTAACAAAATAATGACAGCCTTCCTAGAAGAACAAGGTTAGTGCTTTCTCTATTTCATTCGCTGAAAACCAATTGCATGAGCTGGTGAACTAAACTGTTACTTTGAAACATAAGAGGAAGAAAGCATTTTTTTAGAAGAGGAGAACAGGGTTTTCTATACGTACTTTGGAGAGTTACAAATCCATGCTTCTCTATAGATGACATTGTGCCTCACATTAAGACGGCTGTCTACAAGGACTAGCCGATGGACTTTCTCTAATGCTACCTTGGAAGGCAGCGGGCTGTCAATAGGAATGACAAATTCAAAGCTGGATTATACTGGATTATAGTCAGAGGACCTAGGTCTGAGTGCTCAGCTCTATGGCCTTATGATCTCGAGCAAGTAACTTCATTTCTTTGCACCTCAGTTTTCTCATTTGTAAAACAGTACAAAAAAGCAGTACTTACCCCCAAGGTTGTTCTGAAGATCAAAGTGGGTGAGAAGAAATTTGTGAATCAGTATTACTATGATTTGGGTTAATATGGCTTTTAATATTTTATAGTCAATTAGTTAATAAATATTTATTAAGTACCTACTTACTGGTGTCAGGCACTAGGGATACAAAGAAAGACAAGAACAGTCTCTGTTCCCAAGGACCTCACAGTCTAATGGAGGAAACAACATGTACACAACTGTGTACAAACATACCACATACAGGATAAACTGGAGACAATCACCAAAGGTGATTAACTAGAATTAAGGGAGATTAAGAAAAGTTTCCTGTGGAGAGTGGGCTTTTAGCTAGGACTTGAAGAATCCAGGAAAGCTTAAAGAATAACAAGGAGAGGGCAGCTAGGTGGTACAGTGGATAGAGCACCAGCTTTGGAGTCAATGAGTTCAAATCTGGCCTCAGACACATAACATTGACTAGCTGTGTGACTGGGCAAGTCACTTAACCCCAATGCCTCACCAAAAAAAAAAAAAGAATAGTAAAGAGGCCAGTGTCCCTGGATCTCACAGTATGGAGGGGTGTGTGTGTGTGTGTGTGTGTGTGTGTGTGTGTGTGTGTGTGTGTAAGAGATAAGAAGATTAGAAGGTGGAGGATGGGAGTAAGTAAGTTATGAAGGGCTTTGAATGACAAAGGATTTTATACTTGATTCTAGTGATGACAGGGAGACATTGGAATTTTTGAGTATGGAGGTGACCTGGTCAGACCTGTACTTTAGTGGGAAATCAGTTATAATGTGGATGCTATACTATATATGCTATTTAGCTAGAGCCTTGAAGGTTAGCAACAGATAAATTAAAATATGGTGGCTTATCTTGGCCATCAGGTTTTATAGTAGGAGGCATCAGGCAGAAAGAAAGCATTTAGAAGGGTGAGGGCTAGGGGCTCTAGGGGCCATGAGAAGCTGATGGCAGTGACAGCAACAGGCAGGAAAGAAGAGCTGAGTACAGCTATTTTCTTTAAGAAGGTGAGATGTGCCTAACATTTATACATGTGTTGCAGCCAAGGTTGGATAATTAAATTAAATTCAAGTCAATAAGGATTAATGAAGCGTATGCTATTAGGGGATGGGGAGGAAGATGACTGAAAAACAAGATTGTCACATTGGTCCCTGTAACTGTAGGAGAAGTCAAATGCCTTGGATCATCTGTGAAATTTAAGACATAATTACCCAAGCACCTAGAAAGAGCCATGCTGTAAGAACAATTTCTTCTTTCTTGAACTATCCATGTGGGTGATAAGTATAATACTCAGCATAAAGTACTTTTCTGTAGTGTTATAGAAACTAGCCTCTTTCTAACTATGCTTTAGACTTAGAGGATGATGGTGCTGGGGCCCTGAACAGAAAGTATCAAATGGTAAAGGGATCAAAACTTCCTTCCCTCCCTTTTTATTGACTATTTAACAATATAAACATTAATCCCTCTAATGTTTAGTCCTTAGGTGCGGCCTTTGGTTTCAGTCCAAGCTTTACAGAACAAATCTTTTTATTAAGGGGATTTGTCCTGTGAAATTTGGATTCAGTCAAAGGACCACACTTGAGCAGCTAGAGGGCCACATGTGGCCTTGAGGTGGAAGGTTCCCCACCCCTGGCTCTATACTCACTGCCCTCACTTCTTCTCCTTCTACTCACTAGTCGACCCTTGGAAATTTGGCTTCTGACTTTTATCACTCAACTGAAAATCCAGAGTTACCAACAATCTCTTTTTTGCCAAATCCAATGGACTTTTCTCAGTCCTTCTTCTTGCTGTCTCTGCTGCATTGACATTATTGACCCCCCTCCCCCTTTCTTCTCTGGATACTTTCTTCTCCAGGTTTTCATGATACCAGCTCTCTCCAGGTTCTTCTACTTCCTGCCTATCCACTCCTCAGTCACCTTTGCTGTCTCATCATCCCTTGCATGTCCCCTTTCTATGGGTGTTCCTCAATGTTCTGTCCTGGTCCCTCTTCTCTTTTTATAACCTCATCAATTCCCATGAGTTTAATTATTAGCTATATGCAGAGGACTCCCAGATCTATATAACCAGCCATTCGACTCCCCTAAGTGTGAGTCCTGCATCACCACCTGCCCATTGGACATTTCAAATGACTCATTAAAACTTTATCTTACTCTAGGGATTCTTTAATTATCAGACAATCATAGTTTTAGAGATGGAAGACATTAGACGGTCTTCACCTTCAGGCACTCTGTGGACTAGCCAAATTGGTCTGTTCCTAACATACTGTCCTCCATCTCTGATCTCCTTGCCTTTCCACTGGCTGTGTCCCATGCCTGAAATGTTCTCCCTTTTACCTCCATCTCACAAAATCCCTCTTTTTTCAAGATGCACCATCCTTTACAGCAGGCCAGCACAACATACGGCCCACTGGCTGCTTGTGGCCTGCCAAAGCAAGTATGTTGTGCAGGCTTCTTTTATATCCTCTACATCTTTCTCGGGCCACCCAAAATCCTTTCTCAGGCCCCAGGTTGTGCAGATCTGCTCTACAGGAAGCCTTTCTTGGTCTCTCCCTGCCCTTAATGGCTAGTGTCCTCCTTCCCAAACTACCTTGTAATTATTCTAAATATACTTATATATGCACATGCTGTTTCCCCTATTGAATGAAAGCCCCTTAAGAGAAATAGTTATTTCATTCTTTCTCTATATTTCCTCAGTGTCTACTATGTGGTGGGCACAGTAAATGCTTATTGCTTGATTATGATGTTATGACTGAAAGTTGATTATTCCTTTTCTTTTTCTTTTTTTTTTTTTAGAAAGAGAGGTTCTGGACCTACTGTTTTTTTTTTTGATGAGGGGCACCCTCTCCCAATGCGGATCAGCAATTGTTCTGTGCCACATCATCTTAGAGAGTTGTCTAGAGCAGAGAATTTAAGCAACTTGTCAATGGTCCAACAGCCTGAATATGTAAGAGGTAGGACTTGAACCCAGGCCTTCCTGGGTCCCCAAAAAATAACACTTCTCCAGGTTTGCACAAACATACTGTACTATTTACCCTCCTTCTCATTCACCTTTTCTTCTCCACCAATGATCTGATGATGTGACAAGTACTCCAACATTTGCCAACTATTTTGCACTTTCAGATTTGATTTTCTTGTAAAGATGCTCTCCTGTAAATTAAGTTGTGATGATGAATCCTTGCCAGTCTGTTGGATCACTTTTCCTAATCTCACTTCAGATTTGCCACCCCACTCTGGCCTTCATTTGAGTTACCTAGCAGACTTTTCTCTAGGATTCTTTCCTCTCCCCTCTGACCTTTTCCCCACCCCTCTCCACCTCACTTTTTTCTTTATGCCCAATTAGAGAATGGTGGACATAGGCAGATGAGTGGGTGGGTATGTTCAGCCCCTATAGTTTGTGACCCAGAGAAATGGGAGGGACATCACCTGAAACAATAAGACGGCTTCTTTTGGTGCATGGAAGACCTATATATAAAAGTCACATTTAAGGGTCCTGCAGTTTAATTCAGCAGCCTCCTCAAGTTTACTCAGCATTAACAGAGAATCAGCTGCTAAGCCAAGCTCTGAAGGAAAAACTTTTCCTCAGACATTCCTGGGTGAGTAGAATTTATTTTTGGTGGGTTCAATCAGCTAAAAGATTTGAATATCAAGGAATTGCTTGGGTGGTACAGTTTCTTTCCAGTGGCATGATATCTTGGGATGTAAGCTAGCCAAAAAAAAAAATATGGCAAAGCAAAAGAAAGCCTTTGAAAAGAATTCAATTTTGTCTTTTGAGATGCTGGAATCTTTATTAAGGCAGTAATCTAAAATCTATGAACATTTGACTTGAAGTATGTGGTGGCTCCTTGGTTGAAATTAGAAAATGAAATATTCCCATGAAGAATGGTTTCAATAACCAAAGAAAGCTGATGAAGGTAGAGGTTCGCATCACTTTTCCTCCATCCTCCAGTCCCACATAAAAAATGCTGGATTTGAAGGTAAAAGAAACTTGGTTTCTACCAGGAATGATTAACCTGAAGTCTGTGAACTTTTTTTTTTTGCAAATATATTTTGATAGCTGCATTTCAACATAATTAGTTTTCTTTATAAGCCTATGTATTTTATTTTATGCATTTAAAAACATTTTTTTTTTTACTGAAAGGGGGTCCATAGGCTTCCCCAAGCTGTCCAAGGAGTTCTTGATACAAAAAAATGTTAAGAGACTGATTTATATGCTAGCATCACACAAGTACAATCTGAATCCTGGAGATATTTGTTTTTACTACCATTCATACCAGGTGTCAACTTTTAAAAAAAATTAGTACCTTTCATTTTAAAGATATTTTATAGCATCTCTCTAGTTCTTCCTTTTGTCATTTCTATGAGAATCCACCATCTTTTGAGGAACAGGGAAACAAAGATGCCAGAAGGGTCTGGGATCACTGGGTGAATGAATCCATAGCAAAGCAAGGATCATGACCATAAAGGCCATGTCCACTATTGCCTTACTGCCTTAATTAGTATAGGAGGACTCTTAGTATACCCCGATAAGCAACATCTTTATGTTCTGTGAGACAGGATGGAATTTAAATGGACAAAACAGGCTATGCTTTCAAAGGTGGTCATTCAGGAATTCCATTTCTGTGTTCAATAAACAGCACAAAACTAAGCATTTAAAAAACTTAAATAGAATAATTGCCAATGAAATGCTTATGATGTGGATACAGGCAAAGGACAATCCCATGGAAGGAAAAAGATCATCAGGAATGGAGGAAGGATAGTGGAAAAGACGCTTTTGTCATTAAAACAAACAGGAAAAAAATGTAGACTCAGAAACTTATGTCTCTGTTTCATAAATAAGTTGTATTTAGCTCTATAGTTTCTTTCAAAAAAGGGCAATGTGAGGCTCAAGTGAGAAGATTGTGCAGAACACTTTGCAAACTTTACATGCCTGTAGTTATTTCAGATAAGGTCAGCTAGATGGCACAGTGGATAAAGTGCTGGGCCAGGAGTCAGAAAGATCCCGGGTTGAATCTGGCCTCAGACACTTACTAGCTGCGTGAACTCTCTTTGCCTCAGTTTCCTCACCTGTAAAATGAGCTGGATAAGAAAATGGCAAACCACTCCAATATCTTTGCCAAGAAAACCTCAAATTGGCTCACAAAGAGTCAGACATGACTTAAAAAGGCATTGGCACCAAACACCTGGCAAATACTTGTTAGAAGTAGTTCAGGAAAACTAAATATTAGTTCAACAAAACCTCATTAAGTTAGGCTAATTTTGAACTTGTGATGCTTAGGACAGAGGTTAGGCTAAAGTTTACTGGCACAGAGGGGCAGAGGTTGCTTAGAAAATCAATTGTGAGAATAGTTTTGCTTTCTCAGGAGAACCAAAGCCTTCAGGCATTTTAGAAGTCCCAGTTTGTAAGCAGAGTATTATGTGTTGGCTACTTACCAGGTCTCCCCAGTGATGGTCTGTCATCCCCAACATGATACAGGCAGTCTTTTAAAAATTACATACAAGTAATAGAAACCAATTCTATGAACATCTGTTTCTATCTCTTCATGTCCTCCCATTGTTGGTGGTGACCATATGTGACATTTTTGACATCTGTTACTCATGTGACAAGAGAGTTGCGCTTCGTTCATTTTGCTTTGCCTTACTTCACATATCCTTTTCACCTCCCATATGTCTATCCCTTTTCTCGGTTCTTCTGTATCTCATAGTACCAGCATACACCCACATTTGTTGATTTAATCTTCTAGCCTGGGGCATATAAACTGTTGCCACTTGTCCCCTGTGTTAGAAGTCCCATGATGAGCAGCCTTATAAAATGACTTCTTCCCACCCTTCTTCTGTATATAAAAGTTATCACAGGTGAGCTCTCCTCAAACCTTGCTCTGTGTATTGGCAACTCTGCTTTTCCTGCTTATATAGGAAACACAACCAGTATAAACAAGACAAATTTAACTTGCCATGTGACTTTATTCTTGAACTTCATGGTTATTCTTTTGAGGGGTATATCTTCAAAAGTGAGGTTCTTGGAATTAAGGGCAGCTAGGTGGTAGAATGCATGGAGTGCTAGACCTGGAGTCAGGAAAACACAAGTTCAAATCCCACCTCAGTCACTCATTAGCTATGTGACCCCAGGCAAGTCACAATCTTTTTCAGCCCCAGTTTCCTCATCTGCAAAATGGGGATAAGAATGAGATAACACTTGTAACATAACTTTGCAAGCCTTAAAGGCCTATCATCATCATCATCATCATCTTCATCATCATAATCATTATCATCATTGCCTTCATTGGGCATGAACAATTTCAGAGCTCGAGTAAAATATCTAGAAGCATCCACTTAAGTCTAATGTTAAAAAGTGGAAATAAAGTTACCATAATCAAGCTTTCCTCAAACTTTGCTCTGTGCACTGGTAACCCTGCTTTTCCTGCTTATATAGGAAACCTAACCAGTATACTTAACAAAAATTCAACTTGCTAGGTGACTTCATTCTTAAGCTACATGATATGTATGTACTGTGAATGTGTTTGTGTGTGTATGTATTGTATATGTGTACGTGTGTGTATGTAAAAATGTTTAACCCAGATAGATTTTTAAAAATTTTTAATATTTCAAAATTACATGTAAAAATAATTTTAACTTTTTTAAAAAAAATTTGAGTTCCTAATTCTCTCCCTTCCTCCCCCCACCCCTTGAAAAGGCAAGCAATTTGATTTAGATTATTCATATACACTGGATAGATTTTTAAAAAACTATTTGGAATTGCTTAAGTTTTAAATGTTTCCCTTTCTTCCTTTCCTTTCAGTGAAGATGGTTTTTGCAAGAGATATGGCAAGAGCCATCGTGGTTTTGTATGTAATTGGCTTCATTACCAATGCTGATGGAAAATCAATTAAGTAAGTATTGTAGCCTGGTTTGCTTTGTTGGCCAATGGGACAACATTGTTGTTGTCTTTCACTTCATTCTGGAAAATGGGAAGGAATGAACCAAATGATTTATGCTCTCTCTTCTTTCTCCTTCTACCTTTCTCTTGCCCTCCACCCCCTCTATTACCTTCCTCCCCAGGAAGAGAATTGTGGCTGAAATAGAACTGATGCATAATTTTAGTGAGTTCTTGAAAAATGAAACCAGGGTGGCATGGCTAAAAAAGTACCTCGAGAAGATACTGGATCCCAGAGATTTACCATGGGTCCCTAAACCCCTTGTAGCCCCTGCAGAGATGCAGCTCCGAAAGAGGGCAGACACCAATCTGGTTGCAAACCAGGATTACCAACTAACTCCAGGAAAGAAGACGCTTGGGAAGACTGACAAGGCTGACATGTACATGTTGTCCAAAGTCAATCCTCAGCAATAGGGAATAGGTCCAGCAAGAGGTTGGGTCACTGTGGCACAGGTCCCTGTGTTACAACTGTCCATGCTGCTGATTTTCCTGGCTCCATTGAAATGACCAAGGTCCATTGGTTGTCCTAGCCCCTTACCAGCTGTGTGTTAATGACGATCCTCGCAGTTAGTTCATTTTGATGTTTTGATGCTATCTATCCATATTCATTTAAAGAGCACTTTCAATGATCCTATTTCTATAACTAATTCTTTTGAACATATGTTTGTGCACACCTTATAAAGGAATAAAATTGCACTTTCAAACCTCTCTTCTACTTTACAATGCCAAATAAAATCCTGCCAATGATAATGTCAAACATGAAACTTAGTATTTGTCATCATTCATGAGTATGTTGAGTTATGACTGATGTCATAAAATGCCAGGGCTGAAAAGGCCCCAGAGATCACCTAGTCCAACCATCTTCCTGTATGCCGGAGAAAACTGAGGCCCAGTGAATTTGGGTGGTTTTCCGTAGGTCATACAACAAGTTAGTGGCAAAGTTGGGACTAGATCTTGGTTTTCTCCTTCCTACTGTAATTCCATTTCTACCATGCCAGTCTGACTCATTTTAACTGACCACTACAGTTAAAGCACATAAGGTAGAAATTAATATATTTCATATTTCTATTTTAATATATTAATTTAAAACATGTATTTTAACTATTGTAATGTTTTAAAATTATATGTATATAATTTTAGTTTTATATATAAATTAAAATTATACACACACACACACACACACACACACACACATATTTAGGGCAGCTAGGTGGCGCCACAGTGCATAGAGTGCTGAGCCTGGAATTGGAAAGACTCATCTTACTGAGTTCAAATCTGGCCTCAGACACTTACTAGCTGTGTAACCCCGGGCAGCTCACTTAACTTTATTTGCCTCAGTTTCCTCATCTGTAAAATAAGCTGGAGAAGGAAATGGCAAACCATGCCAGAGTCTTTGCCAAGAAAACCTCATGTGGGGTCACTAGGAGTCAGAGGTGACTGAAACTACTGAAAAACAGCAATATATTTATATTAAGAGAAATTGCATGGTACAGTGGAATGACAGTAGGCCTCTGAGCAAGTAGGACCTGGATTTGAGTCTTTTCTCTGACACATACTGACTGTGTGACCCTGGGCAAGTCACTTAAATTTTATTTCAGTGTTCTGTTCAACTCTCTAAGACTTAAGTTCCAGAACAGGTGCCAGTATGTGTTGGCAGAAGGAGTTTCCTCATCTGGGAGTTCTCTACACCAATGAAATCCCATTTTCTGTCCTTAGCCATATTTTTATACCTTACATCAGGAGGCAGTGTGGTATAGTCTATAGAAAGGTGACCTCAGAACAGGACAATCTGGGTTCATGCTTCACCTCTGATATACGCTGGCTATGTGGACCCTGTATAAAGTGTCGAACCTCTCAGTGCCCAGGCAACTCTCTAGGGGTAGAAGCACTGGTACAGGGAGTTCCTCATTCCCTGTACCAAGGAAATCAAAAGTTTTCATATTTTTTAAAAAAATGTTTGCTTAATCCTCTTCACATTTCCTAAGGGCTAATTCTCTCAGTAATCATGCATTTACATAACACTTTAAAATTTGTAGAAAACTTTCCTCAAAACCCTCTGAGCTAGGGGATGCAAATCTTATTATGATGCCCACTTTCTGAGCAAATTAAGGCCTGGAGAGATGAGATGACTTGTGCAGCATTACAGAGGCAGGGAGCCAGGGTTTGAACATCCGATCTTATACAGACAGGAATTATTGTCACACCCATTTTACACATAGAGTCTCCCAGAAGACAGGACAGCTGTCTGACACTGGAGAAAACAAGGCATGTGACCATACCCCGATCTGCTAGGGGTGAATCCCTTAACATCTCAGGACTTCCACGTCCTCGCCTGTGAAATGATGCAGATTGGCTAGGTGCTATTTAGGTTCCTTCCCATTCTAGCTCTGTTAGTTATCGATTGACCATGCTTCTGTCCTGGAATAAAGTCTCTAGGGAAGGAAATCTTTTCAGTCTAAAGAAAGTTATAACATAAAATACAACATGTCAATCCTCAGTCCTCTCAAAGGAAGAAAGAAGCATCCTAATCCTATAAGGGTAACCGAGAGGACAAAATGACCCAGAAGATAATTCAGCATGCATTTGGGGACTGGCTAAGGCATGGATCCCGATGTAGAGGTATATCAGATAATAAGAGGAGTTTCAGAAATCAACTTATACTAGGCAGGATTGATCGAGGGAAACCTGGACACTTAGTTTGGGGGAACATTATCACTATCCTCCTATTTGAAGGGATGTGCTATGGAAGAGACATGAGACTGATGGACATGGTGCGTTTTAATGGAAGGGCAGTGAATTTTGCATTACCTGACCTGGGCTGGGATTAGGAATCTGCGCTTACAATCAGTCTCTCACCTTGGGTCAGTCACTTTCCTCATTTGTCTCATCTGTAAAATGGGGGTATATCTACTATCTATCTCACCAGGCTTCTGGAAGCAAAGTGCTTGGTAAACCATTAAACAGTATGGAAATGTGAGCTGCTACTATTATACTATTATTCTGCCTGACCCCAGAGGGAAGAATGATGCTCAATGAGTAGGAACTGAATAGCCAAATTTGGGGCCTAGAGTACCCTAGTGCATTATAAACACTCCATAAATGCTTGCTGGATTGATTGAATTAACAGTTAGAACTTAGAGAGAGCTAGGTGGTACAGTGGATAGAGCACTTGGCTTGGAGTCAGGAAGATGAGTTCAAATCCAGCCTCAGACACTTACTAGCTGTGTGACCCTGGTCAAGTCACTTCTGTTTATCTCAGTTTCCTCATCTGTAAAAGGGAGATAATGATAGCACATATCTCCCAGGATTGTTGTAAGGATCAAATGAGATAATGGTTGTAAAGTGCTTACCATAGTAGCTGGCATCTAGTAAGCACTACATAAATGTTAACTGTTGTTATTATTATATTTATCTAATAGTGAAATGGGCTGTTCCAGGGAGAGTGACCTCACCATCATTGGAGGTATTCAAGTAGAGGCTTTATGGCAACTTATTGGGATGCTGCAGAGAAGATTCCTGCTTAACTACAGGGTCAGCTTACTGACCTCTGAGATCCCTTCTCCTTCTGAGATTTTGTAATTTTAAAAAGTATGCTTTTGTACACTACCAGGGAAGAAGCCAGTGGCATTTTGGGTCTTAGTTAAACTGGGCTGGTTATGACTGACTGGAATAAGATCCATGTGAGTCCAGGACTTTGCCAGGGGTAAAACAGGCTGCTTACGCAGGAAGTACTTAATAGATGTTTGTTGAGTTCTGAAGAGGTTAAGGAATGCTAAGGCTGAGGCATTCTGGGCTTTAGAGGTTTCCCAGGATTTCACTGTCCCTTTACAGAAGGAAGGCTTGCAAATTAATCTTCATGGAGGAGTTGTTTCTGTTGAAATAGAAGTGAAGGGGGCAATAGTCAGTCTAGGTGGAGTATGCTGGGGAAGGCTTTAGACAGTTTTAGTTTCATTCGTTTCTTCCGCTTGAAGCTAATTAAGTCTTCTTTTAGAATAGTGTGTGTGTGTGTGTGTGTGTGTGTGTGTGTGTGTGTGTGTGTTGAACCACTTTTGGATATCACTTCAATATGTTCTTGGAACCTAGGCTATATAGAATGGAATTGCCAAATACTGATCATACCCACCAGCTTTTTTGGTTCCAAAACTTATACACATTTTTGGTTACTCGATGGACTGCTTGTTTCATTGCTTAGGCAAAATGCTAACTAAATCACAATGCTTCCTTCAATATTTCCAGGATGTATGATTGTGCGTAGAAATGTTCACTCCACACAGAAAGATCTCAATCCCTAGGATTTAGAGAAGTCACTAGGAATGAAAAATTGCTCACTCTGGCCAATTTGGATCTAGATATTGTTGCTTCATTTCATGTCAGTCGTGTCCAACTCTTCATGACCCCATCTGGGGTTTCCTTGGCAAAGATACTGGAATGGTTTGCGATTTCCTTCTCCAGCTCATTTTACAGATGAGGAAACTGAGGCAAACAGGGTTAAATGACTTGCTCAGAGTCACACAGCTAGTAAGTATCTGAGGCTGGATTTGAACTCAGGTCTTCTTGACTCTAGTCCCAGCACTTTATCCATTTGGGCCACCTAGTAGCCCCTTTAGACATTGTATTTGGCTTAATTTTGGATTCTTTGTGCATACTTATATATGTACATGCTGTCTCCCTTGGTAGAACGTAAGCTCTTTGAGAGCAGGATTTGTTTCATTTCTGTCTCTGTATCCTCAATGCCTTTGGACACATTGAAAAAACACTTCATAAATGCTCACTGACTGATTGGTTGGTTGATTAATGAGTTAATTTAGCTGGTCTTTAGCAGTCATAGGTGGTCATCAGTCTGCCCTCCTTAAGACTACAGAGTTAAGAGCTGGAAGGGACTTGAAAAGGTTTTCATACCTTCCAGAGATTAAGCTTCACTGTCAGAGCATAGCCTTTAGGAATCACAGGTAGGTCCTTGGACGGGAACTTAAGTGGACGAGCTTCATTCATTCATTCATCAAACATTTTATGGAGTATTTGCTGCTCTACTAGGTGCTGTGGGAGATTGTTTTAAAAGTGAATACAATGTAGACCAGTCCTACTGAAGCTATTGATTAAGTAGGATCCTAGGTCTCTTGCCCAAGAGTGAGACAGGAAGGAAAGAATTACAGAAGGCTGCAGGTAAACCAGGGGTGTCAGACTCAATTAGAAATGGATCCCTGTTAACTCGTATTGACATCTTGTTGTTGAGTCATATCTGACTCTTTGTGATCCCATTGGGGTTTTCTTGGCAAAGATACAGGAGTAGTTTGTCGTTTCCTTCTTCAGTTCATTTTACAGATGAGGAAACTGAGGCAAACAGGGTTAAATGACTTGCCCAAGGTCACACAGCTAGTAAGTGTCTGAGACCAGATTTGAGTCTACCTGACTCC